TGCTTATATTTACTAGTTGCTTTCAGGATCCTTTCTTTATCCTTGACCTTTCAGAGTTTCATTAATATGTGCCTTGATGTAGCCTTATTTGGCTTGAATCTGTTTAGTGTTCTATGATCTTCTTGTACCTGGATATTCATATCTTTCTCTAGGTTTGGGAAGTTTTCATTATTATTTCTTCGAATAAACTTTCCACCATGATGTCTCTCTCTATACATATTCTCTTTAAGGCCAACAACTATTAGATTTGCCCTTGTCAGTCTATTTCCTGGATCTTACATGTATGCTTAATTTTTTTTATTCTTATTGTTTCCCTCTGACTGTATTTTTATATGGACTGTCTTCCAGCTCACTAATTTTTTCTTCTGTTTGATCAATTCTGCTATTGAGAGACTCTGATGCATTTTTCAATTGAATTTTTCAACTCCAAAATGTCTACTTGATTTTTAAAAATTATTTCAATCTCTTTGTTAAATTTATCTGATACAATTCTGAATTCCTTCTCTGTATTATCTTGACGTTTGTTGAACTTCTGCAAGACAAGTATTTTGAATTCTCTATTTGAAAGGTCATATATCTTTGTCACTCCAGGACTGGTCACTGGTGCCTTATTTAGTTCATTTGGTACGGCCATGTTCCTTGGATGTTCTTGATGCTTGTGGATGTTTGTTGATGTCTGGGCTTTGAAGAGTTAGGTGTCTAATTTGTCTATTTTGTCTTCACAGTCTGGGCTTGTTTGTGCCTGTCCTTCTTGAGATAGCTTTCCAGGTATTCCAAGGGGAATGAGCGTTGTGATCTAAGCTTGTGGTCACTGCAGCTGTATCAGTACTAGGAGGTGCCCTAAGCCCAGGAATGTTACAACTCTTGCCAAGTCATAGAGGCACAATGATGCTTCTAGATGAAACATTGCCCTAAAGGGAGAATTCCTTGGGTTACTAGGCAAAGTATCTCAGTCTCTTCTCTTTTGTTCCTTGAACCACAAGAAGTTTTTCTCCCCATGCTGGGCTGCCTGGAGTTGGGGGAGGAGTGACACAAGCACTCCTGTGGCCACCACAGCTGGCACTGTGCTGGGTCATACCTGAAGCTAGCACAGTACTGTGTCTTGCCTAATACTCACGGTGACTACTGCCTGGCTACCACTGATGGTTATTCAAGGCCCAAGGGCTCGTTAGTTAGCGGGTGGTGAACCCTGCCAGGACTCAGTCATTGCCTTCAAGGAAGAAAATTCCCTTCTGGCCCAGGGTGGGACTAGAAATGCCATCCAGGAGCTAAGGCTTCAGGAATCTGGTTGGTGCTTTATTTTATTGTGGCTTAGATGGTACCTAAGCAGTAAGACAAAGACCTCTATATTTTTCTTCTCCTTTCCCCAAGTGAAGGGAGTTTTTCCCCAAGCTGCACTGCCTGGAGTTGAAGAAAGGGGTCCCATGTTCTTTAAATCATCTCTAGGTTACTCATAATACCAACACCTAATACAATAGAAATGCCGTGTATATAATCGTCATACTGTATTCAATACCTAATACAATAGAAATGCCATGTGTATAATCGTTATACTGTATTCAATACCTAATACAATAGAAATGCCCGTGGAGGTGTATAATCGTTATACTGTATTCAATACCTAATACAATAGAAATGCCATGTATATAATCGTTATACTGTATTCAACACCTAATACAATAGAAATGCCATGCATATAATCGTCATACTGTATTCAATACCTAATACAATAGAAATGCTGTGTATATAACCAAATGCCATGTATATAACCGTTATACTGTATTTTTATTTGTATTCTTTTTATTGTGACATTATTTTTATTTTTTGAATATTTCCAATCCAGACTTGATCGAATCCATATATCCAGAACTTGGGTATATGCGGCTGACCATATAGTATTCTGTTCAGTTAGAGAAAAAACGTACCAATAGCTCAAAATTTGGAAACTTGGCTATCAGCAATTCAAGACTTAATGTAAAAAAATTTTTTTTCTAGGTACTATGTATAAACATGTAACATTAGCCTCAAAGAAAGAAAATAATCCAAAATTATCTTTCTTTTATTTATTTACTTATTTTTTCTTTTTTTAATTATACTTTAAGTTCGAGGGTACATGTGCACAACGTGCAGGTTTGTTACATGTGTATACATGTGCCGTGTTGGTTCGCTGCACCCATAACTCATCATTTACATTAGATATTTCTCCTAATGCTATCCCTCCCCCAGGCCCCCACACACTGACAGGCCCTGGTGTGTTATGTTCCCCACCCTGTGTCCAAGTGTTCTCATTGTTCAGTTCCCACCTATGAGTGAGAACATGCAGTGTTTGGTTTTCTGACCTTGCAACTCATCATCACTGGCCATCAGAGAAATGCACATCAAAACCACAGTGAGATACCATCTCACACCAGTTAGAAAAGCGATCGTCGGGGGAAGGGGGAGGGAGAGCATTAGGAGATATACCTAACGTAAATGACGAGTTAATGGGTGCAGCACACCAACATGGCAAATGTATACCTATGTAACAAACCTGCACATTGTGCACATGTACCCTAGAACTTAAAGTATAATAATAAAAAAAAACCCTAAAAAAAAAAAAAGAAACGCAATCATTAAAAAAACAACAGGTGCTGGAAAGAAGGTGGAGAAATAGGAACACTTTTACACTGTTGGTGGGACTGTAAACTAGTTCAACCATTGTGGAAGACAGTGTGGCGATTCCTCAAGGATCTCTTTCTTTTCTACTTTTTCTTTCCAAAGGAAAGGGAAACCTGATTGACAAGGTTAAGTAAAACTATGAGCTGATTAGATGTTGAACACTACTGCCTTCATGGAAATTTTACTATTTTGGCTAGAAAAAGAATTCAGAAAAGAAATAGTGTTTAAAAGTTGAACATTCATTTCAAGGAATCCTAAACTAATTTGTGTGTGTGTGTATGTGTGTGTATATGTGTGTGTGTATGTGCTAATAGCTTCATAATCATTAATCATATATTATTTTGGTTATTGGCATATATTCCAAGTAAAAATAGCTTGTGAATCTAATCAATTATATTTTCCACAAGGCAGCGGTAAACATTTTGTTTTATAAAAACATAAGAAGACATTAATTGTAGCACAGTGGATAAGTGCCTTGAAGGTATTAGAACACTTGGTTTTAAATCCTGGCCCCAGAATTTACTGCAAATATATTCTTGCGCAATTTACTTACCTTATCTTTACTTCCTTATCTATAAAATTGAAATTTTAGGCTGGTCGCAGTGGCTCACGCCTGTAATCCCAGCACTTTGGGAGACCGAGGCAGGTGGATCACTTGAGGTCAGAAGGTTGAGACCAGCCTGGTCAACACGGCAAAACCCCGTCTCTGTTAAAAATACAAAAAAATTAGCCAGGTGTGGTGGCAGGTGCCTGTAGTCCCAACTACTTGGGAGGCTGAGGCAGGAGAATCGCTTGAACTTGGCAGGTGGAGGTTGCAGTGAGCCGAGATTGTGCTACTGCACTCCTGCCTGGGCGAGAGATCAAGACTGCATTTCAAAATAAATTTTAAAAAATCAATAATTAAATTTAATTAAATTGGAATTTTAATAGTGTCTACCTCAGAGAGTTGTGAAGAGTAAATGAATTAACTTAAACAAAAGAATATAAAACTGTTATCTCAGCCCTATATGGTATCTCTCATTTCTGTAGTATTGAGACTATATAATTGATTTGACAAATAAATCTGCTTGTTTCAGATGTAATCTTTATAACTGATGTGAAAAATATTTTATTTAAAAAATATCTTTAGGCTAGGCACAGTGGCTTATGCCTGTAATCCTAGCACTTTGGGAGGCCAAGATGGGCAGATCACTTGAGGTCAAGAGTTCGAGACCAGTCTGGCCAATGTGGTGAAACGCCATCTCTATAAAAATACAAAAATTAGCTGGACATGGTGGCGCATGCTTGTAATCCTGGCTACTTGGGAGGCTGAGGAAGGAGAATCATTTGAACCTAACAGGTGGAGATTGAAGTGAGCCGAGATTGCGCCACTGCACTTCAGCCTCAACAACAGAGCGAGACTCCATCTAAAATAATAATTAAAAAGAACAGAAAACGAACAAAAACAAAAAAAAAATCTTTATACTACTTTTAAAGCTGTAGCTTGAATTCCTAGGAAGCAGGAAACATTGTTTTCAATTCTCTATCCTCTCTGTATTTAGCATAGTACATTACTAATTTTGTGGACTTCTTAATATTGCTTTAATCCTGAGTTATAGGAACTAAATTAATATGTAAGCAGTTTTATCCTATCATTAAATTGCTCTAAATGTGAATCTTAAAGACTTGAATAGTTTAAGTATAATTTTAAAACTTATGGTAGAGCAATATAATGATTTCTTCTTCTCAAAGAAGTAATGGAATCTATCAAAATTAAAACAGTAATGTAAAATCTTGGTCGAATTTCAAATTGCTATATCATATATATGTAAATTGGACAAAGATAACACAGTCAAGCATGAAGTCTATTTTTTTTCTTTTTCTTTTTTTTTTTTTTTTATTGACAGGGTCTCGCTCTGTTGCCCAGGCTGGAGCACAGTGGCCCGATCATGGCTCACTGCAACCTCCATCTCCCAGGTTCAAGTGATCCTCTCACCTTAGCCTCCCGAGTAGCTGGGACCACAGCCACACACCACCACACCCAGCTATTTTTTTGTATTTTTAGTAGATACAGGGTCTCCTCATCTTGCCCAGACTGATCTCAAACTCCTGAGCTCAAGCGATCTGCTCACCTCGGCCTCCCAAAGTACTAGGATTACAGGTGTGAGCCATCACGCCCAGGCCCAGTGGTCATTTTTAACCATAATTCAATATCATGTGACAACTCAACTGCTATGTACTAGTTGAGGATAAACAGTCTATGAATTATCTTCACCAGTGGAAGGTCTGTTCAAAATCAGTAATAAGGGTTTTTTAAATTATTATTTCTAGTTTCTTATTTCCCATTTGTTTTCTTGTTTCAGGGCTTTGAAGACTGCTTGGTATTTGATGAGTTAATGGATAAATTCAATAATGACCTCAGTAAGTAAGGTCAATTTCTCGACTGGACGTGGACTAGCTCTTCTGACTAATGTTGGACTTATTTCTGATCCTCAATGATCACAGACCTCTGATGTATAATGTAAATTCTCTCCCCGGGATTACGTATTGTTCTACTAACAGTCTATGCCACCGTTCTCCCATAGCAACAACTAGCACCCAGAAAAAGAAACATAGTTTCCTTTGAAGTTTCTATGTGGAGGTCCACAAAGTGATTCATTCAAAGATAAAAGCTGAGAGTACCCATGCTTGGCAGAGATACGCTGCTCTCTCTCCCTTGTCAGCCTAGGTAACACCCTCTGCCTGCATCTCCTAGCAGCAGTCCCAACGTTTTGGCACCAGGGATGGGTTTCATGGAAGACAATGTTTCCACAGACGGGGGCATTGGGGGAGATGGTTTCGGGATGAAACTGTTCCAGCTCTGATCATCAGGCATTAGTCAGATTCTCGTAAGGAGCATGCAAGCTAGATGCCCGGCCTGTGCAGTTCACAACACGGTTCACGCTCCTATGAGAAACTAATGCCACTGCTGATCTGACAGGAGGCGGAGCTCAGGCGGGAATGCGGTCTCACCTGCCACTCACCTCCTGCTGTGCGGCCGGGTTCCTAACAGGCCATGGACAGAGGGCTGGGGACATTTACCCTACAACACATCCTCAGAAACATTCTTAGAAGCTCCAGTGTTTTTTGCCCTGTCAAAGATTGCATCTAACTCTTTTTTTTTTTTTTTTTTTTTGAGACGGAGTTCTGCTCTTGTTACCCAGGCTGGAGTGCAATGGCGATCTCAGCTCACTGCAACCTCCGCCTCCTGGGTTCAAGCGATTCTCCTGCCTCAGCCTCCCGAGTAGTTGGGGTTACAGACATGCGCCCCCACACCCGGCTAATTTTTTGTATTTTTAATAGAGACGGGGTTTCTCCATGTTGGTCAGGTTGGTCTCCAACTCCCGACCTCAGGTGATCCTCCCACCTCGGCCTCCCAAAGTGCAGGGATTACAGGCGTGAGCCACCATGCTGGGTCATGCATCTGATACTTTCATTTGCCTTCTGATTAAAATCGATTCAGCCAATACATTAATTTTACAGATAATGAACTTTTAAGTATTTATATGTAATTCTGGCACTAATTTAAATTAAATGTGTCCAATTATATATATTATGTATATAGTATAAATACATAATATGCCTGATGTGGCTGGGTCTGAAGAGATTATAGCATTCCATGGCAAATTTCTTCTTCTTTTTTTTTTTTTTTGGAGACGAAGTCACTCCATTGCCCAGGCTGAAGTTCAGTGGCCACAATCTTGGCTCACTGCAACTTCTGCCTCCTGGGTTGAAGCAATTCTCCTGCCTCAGCCTCCAGATTAGCTGGGATTACAGGCATACACCACCACACCCGGCTAATTTTTGTATTTTTAGTAGAGATGGGGTTTCGTCATGTTGGCCCGGCTGGTCTCAAACTCCTGATCTCAAGCGATCCACCCACCTCGGCCTCCCAAAGTGCTGGGATTATAGGCGTGAGCCACCACGCCTGGCATCAATTCCTTTATGATTATTATTTTTTTCATTATTTTTCAGTCGTCTCTGTCAAATGCTCAGGAGCCAGAGGCCTTTGTTCCCTCTCTTCCTTCCTAGCCCTCGTGTGACTGATTTGCACATGACCACGGAGGTGGCTGGAGGGCTTGTATATTACATATATAAAACAAGGTGCAAACAACAGCCTGAGAACTGGATAACCTTTTCCTGCTTCCCAGCATCATGTGCTTTCAAAAGCCACCTCTGATTTTACACTTGTTTCAGGTAAAGGATAGACTAGAGAACTGACCTTAAATTACACCCAGTTTCAAGTCCTGACTTGCCAACTTATTAACTGTGTGATCTTGAGCACATCACTTCATCTTTCTAAAGCCTCTGTTCTTTTTCATCTGTAAAGTGGAGATAATACTCTCAACTTCAGAGTTGTAAAGATTGAATAATTCCTATAAAGTTTTAAAAAGGAAAAAAAAAGCCTGTTATAAAGTAAGTTCAGAGTAAACGTTTGCTGTGGTGTTTTAGGAAGTCCAAGGACACTGATGCCTGGGTCTGAAGAGATTATAGAGTTCCAGGACAAATTTTCTCATCTTTTTTTTTTTTTTTTGGTTATTTCCCCGTCATGTCTCTCAGATGCTCAGGAGCCAGAGATATTTTGTTTCTTCCTTTCCTAGCACTCGTGTGTCTGGTTTACACATGACGTTGGAGGTGGATAAAGGGTTTATGCATAAGAACACACTGTCAACGCTGGTTTGGGGCACTAGAGAACAAAGATAAAACAATAGTATAGATTAACTTTATTGTAATTTTTATTTAATCACGACAGGAAATGTTCTATGTGTATTATCAATAGTCATAGATTGTTGGTTATACAGAATGGTTATTTATAGTTTAAAAAAAATAGCAAGAGCATTGGTGGTGAACACACTGTTTAATTTGACCTGTGAAGAGTCCAGCACATTTTTATAGAAGGTTTTAGAAAGATGTATTATTTAACTTCCAGGTTTGTGTCTTCCTGCGTTCTCAAGATTGAGAATCCCAGATAGTCACGCAATTTCAGACCTATCCATGTACAATTACATAGAGGTGAGTGAGAAGGTTTGGCTTTATTCCATGAGACGGTTCACTGATATTCTAACAAATGTTTTTTTCTTTTTCTTTGCTTCAGCCTCCATCTCATGCATGCTATATAAGAATACCTACAGATAAGAACACACACACACACACACACACACACACACACACACACACACAGCATTCCTTAGACTTGGGTGGATTGTGACTCTGTGGCCAGTGACAATGACCCACACACACTATCTCTATCTACACTTTAAGGACATTTAGGAGGTAACAAAACCTCTGATAATTCACATGCTTTTATCTTAGATATTTAGTAATATGTTAATTTAATGAAAGGACAACTTTCAGATGTGTTAACATATTTAGAAAATCTAAGAAATGTTGAATGGCCTTTTCACTCATAACATTATAACTTACATATTTAGAGTAGCATTGATTATCCTTTGGAACCTTATGTACTAGAAAGAAAATGCATAATACCAAAAAGAAATTCATGTTCAGGAAGATTAGTACTTTGAAGAAAAACACATTAATTCCATTTTGAACCACTCACACGAAAAGTTCACAATAAGTGATTGTGATTATAGTTTTAAAATAATAAAATGAAAGGATTTACAAGATAAATTTAAAGCAGAGTGACCAGCTATTTTCCATCTCTCCTGAAGATAGAAAGAAACTGGACTTCAGCTTGAGCAAAATTGCATCAGATGTGGTAGAGGACGTCCTACAAGATATTGGAGGATTTATTGATGTATCTTGTCCCATCCTTTAAAAACAGGATGGCTATGACACAGTATCTGTCCTAAAAAAAAGAGTAGGTCCAGACAAATAGCTTTAAACAATCTCTTTTTGCCATAAACAATATTACAAACCAAACAGGAAGCAACAGAAAATTAGACAAACCTGGCCGGGCGCGGTGGCTCAAGCCTGTAATCCCAGCACTTTGGGAGGCCGAGACGGGCGGATCACGAGGTCAGCAGATCAAGACCATCCTGGCGAACACGGTGAAACCCCGTCTCTACTAAAAAATACAAAGAAACTAGCCGGACTAGGTGGCGGGCGCCTGTAGTCCCAGCTATTCCGGAGGCTGAGACAGGAGAATGGCATAAACCTGGGAGGCGGAGCTTGCAGTGAGCTGAGATCACGCCACTGCACTCCAGCCTGGGCGACAGAGCGAAACTCCGTTTCAAAAAAAAAGAAAAGAAAAGAAAAGAAAATTAGACAAACCTTTGAGCTCACAGATTACCTGCAGATCTGGTTAAACAAACCCTCTACTGAAATAGACTTCCTATATTGACTCCTGAGCAAAATAAACTTCCCTAGCAGGCTTCATGTATTTGCTGTACATTTTCAAGGCAATGTCCTATATGACCGACATTTACTAAAATGGATTGGGAATAACATTACGGAAACAAAAAATTATTTGACTACTTTGTGTTTGGCATTGCGATGAGTGGGAATGAAGAATAATACTAAGTCACAGTAAGAAATGAATGTGTTCATTCAAAAGCGTTCTTTAAGACTCTCATTATTGCAGATGCGAGCACATGTCAACTCAAGCTGGTTCATTTTTCAGAAGAATATGGGGAGATTTCTTCATGCTATTATGCCATCGACCTTCATCCCTCTCTATACCATGGTAAGGTCTGGACTGAAGGCTTTTCCTCATTTTAATTTTCTGTTTAGCTGTTAAGGAACATACAAGAACACTTTTTAAACTTTCCTGCAGGTCTCTTTTTCCAGAATAAGATACCAGGAGGCTGTGCAGCGTTGGCATTGGCAAAAAAAGGTTGGAACAGATTATATTTTATGAATTTTTTAATGTGATGTGTTAAAATGTCATAGTATTATGATTATGTTTGTTTCAGACAAATACGGAAATAATGGGACACCAACTGTTTGCCTTCCAAACAGAAACTGTCCTGAATACAGAGAGGGAAGAGTGCTTACTGAACAACATTACAAGGAGGTGGCAAAGAAAAAGAGCTTTTGAAGGGAAGAGTCTCAGGAAAGAAGCTGATGCTAATATTTCTCAACTTTTTACTTTATTTTAGCAAGATGTACTGTTCTTGATTTTTGCTTCGTGCAATATTCTTATGAGTTTAATTTGTAAAGTTGGACAGAACTGAATCACTTTTAAAACACCTATTCCAATGGAATGCTATAATACATTCATTTTGGGCAGTTGGCCTAGAGATGCCATTAAATGGAATTCTGATTCCCTAGTCTTCCACTTTGGGGATTTTACAACGTCATTTATTCAACAGACAGTTTTATTTAGTACACAGCACTGAGCTGTCGTGGTGATGAACATGACCAGTTCACACCTTTCACCAAGCTCAGAGGCTAGTGGGGGATAGAGACAGTTGCACTGGAGAGGGATACACTGCCCCCGAGGAGGACAGGAGGGGCCAGGACGGGGGAAGGCGGAAGACACATGAGAAACATAGTTCAGTGGAGCTGGAAGGCGGCACTAGCGTGTGAGAATGGTTAGAGGGTGGAGGCAGGGCTTTAAACACCTGGAATATTATCTTGAGAGAAACAAGGAGCCCAGGGAGGCCAACAGCCTCAGGTCTGAATTTTAGAAAGATGTCTATATGGAGAATGGATTGGAAGAAATCAAGATGTATCTAAACAAGATGAATAAAATAGGGCCTCCACCCTTCAGGAGCTGAAAGTCTAAAAGGGGAAAAGATGCCAGCAGGCAGTTAGGATGCAGGACACTAAGTGCGGGGAGAGAAATAGGCCAGGATGCCGTGGGGAAGCACCTGACTCAGGCTGGAAAGAGTCTCAGGCCACTGTTTACAGCTAGTGTTTAGTCTCCATGTGAGTCTTAGTCACAGAGGCCACCAGGCCACCACTCTTCTCCTGGAGACTTTTGGGAAGCTTCTGAGAAGGAATGAATGATGTGTGGCTCCAGCACAGTGGTACTCTTCTTAGAATTCACAGCTCTTTTTCTAAACTGCACAGGTTTTTTAATGACTGGACAAAAGCTGACTGCTAAATTTTTTTCATACAGAAGACCTTGATTCATGAGTTTCTTGGGAGAGAGGGAGAAGGGAGGCTCCCAATCCTTGACTTTATCTTGATCTTATCGATTCCTGACCTGGTGGTCATGCAATTAAATTGTTGTTTCAGGTTAAAGAACAAAGAGGACATTGTTTACCCCTTTGTTGTTTAAAAAAAATGAAGTCTATTTTCAGATTTGAATCTCTGGACGAATGAAATGAGAGTTCTTGCTGTCTTACAGGTGATATACAAAGGACTCCTTTTCTTGGGATCACTGATAGCCATCAGCAGTACCTACCTACTTATGCACTACATGTCACCACGACCTTTCCACTACTTCAGAAGACCATGGAACTGAACAGCTCACTTCTGGAATACAAAGCATGTTTCCCTACAAAGGCCATGGACTTCCTAGAACAAATTTATCTCATTAGCAGGTGACAGGAAGGTTTTGAGGTTACAAATGCTTGATTTCTCTGTGACCAAAATTAAGCACGAAAAGTTTCCATTGCCATATTTTATTCACTAATGGAAGATAGTGATCTGCTTATAATTAAACTGAATGTAGTATATCTCTGTGTGTTAATTGCAATTACTCGGGGTGGGGGACATTTTAAAAGTTGAAACATGCAACTTCCTCTACATTATACACACTCAGGTTGAGTCATTCTAACTATAAAAGTGCAATGACTAAGATCTTTCACTTCTCAGAAAGTAAGGCCCAAGATGCCTCAGGGAAGACGGTAATCATGCCTTTCCTTTAAAAGACACCACAGGACTCACAATAGCATTGCCTCACACCTGGGACTAAAAATCACAACTTGCCTAGCATGTTAACTGCACTTTCCATTACCTGAATGGAACTTACCTAACCACAGGGCTCAGAGGTACCAGATAAAACCAGAAATGTAAATAATGAATTCAGGGGAGTTCCAGAGACTTACAAAATGAACTCATTTTATTTTCCCAGCTTCAAATACAAGTCTTACCATCTGTTTATCTATCATCTATCATCTAATCTGTCTACCTCTATTTATTTATGTATTTAGAGATCAGGTCTCACTCTGTCGTCCAGGCTGGAGTGCAGTGGCATGGTCTTGCTTCACTGCAACCTCTGCCTCCTGGGCTCAAGCAATCCTCCCACTTCAGTCTCCCAAATAGCTGGGGCTACCAGGCTCAGCTAATTTTTTGGTATTTTTCAGTAGAGACTGGGTCTTGCCATGCTGCCCAGGCCAGTCTCAAACTCCTGGCCTCATGTGATCTGCCCACCTCAGCCTCCCAAAGTGCAGGGATTAGAGGTGTGAGCCACCACTGCCAGCCCAGAGTTACCCTCTAAAGATAAGAAGAAGGCTATTAATATCATACTAAGCAAAGGACAGGAAAGGGTTTTATTCATAAATTAAATGTCTACATACGCAAAAGTGGAAAGGAAACAAGGGGAGACAACTTTTATAGAAATACAAAGCCATTATTTTATTCAATTTCAGACCCTCAGAAGCAATTTACTAATTACTCTTGGACTACATACTGCAGCAGAACCAGCAATACACTTGATTTTTAAAAGCACATTTAGTGAAAACATTTTCTTTGGTTCATCCTTCTTTAACAGGCTGCTGAGTCACTGAGAAGTCCTTCAAACATGATTATGAAGATGAAACACTAGAGTCATATAAGCAATAAAAATTGGGCAATGGGCCGGGCGCAGTGGCTCAAGCCTGTAATCCCAGCACTTTGGGAGGCCAAGACGGGCGGATCACGAGGTCAGGAGATCGAGACCATCCTGGCTAACACGGTGAAATCCCGTCTCTACTAAAAATACAAAAAATTAGCCGGGCGTGGTGGCAGGTGCCTGTAGTCCCAGCTACTCGGGAGGCTGAGGCAGGAGAATGGTATGAACCCAGGAGGCGGAGCTTGCAGTGAGCTGAGATCGTGCCACTCACTCCAGCCTGGGCAACAGAGCACGACTCCATCTCAAAAAAAAAAAAAAAAAAATTGGGCAATAAGATGATTCAGTGTTTCTTTTCTATATTGTCAATGAAATCCTTGAGTTCTAACAATCCATGTTTAGTTTGTAGGGAAAGAAAAAATAATTTTTCCTTCTACCCACTTTAGGTTCCTTTGCTGGGGCCCCTATAACAAAAGACAGATTAACAAGAGAAAAACAAACATAAGTTTATTAGCAGATATATATAATATATGTGGGAAATACAGGTAGAAATACAGGGGAATGAGCAAATCTCAAAGAGCTGGCATCTTAGAACTCCCTGGCTTATACAGCATCAACAAAGAACAGTAAATGTTTAGAAAAACAACAAAACAAAGAAAAAGAGCTTTGAGTCTGTAGGGGCAGCAATTTGGGGGAAGCAAATATATGGGAGTTTGCCTTGTAGATTCCTCTGGTGCTGGTCTCCAGGCTGACAAGGATTCAAAGATGTCTCTGAAACTCCTCTTTGTCATAGTGCACATATAAAAAGTCTTTTGTTTCCAACAAGAGGATTTTCTTTTTCATTCTAGAATTATCTCCTTGATAACTTCGACATAGGACATGACACTGAATAGAGTCCAACAGTACAAAAAAATTCAGTATGTTCTAGCTACTTCACACATGTGTATGCGACAGTTATTTTTATAGTAAGGTATTTTCGAGAAAAATGTATTACGTGTTTTGGAAAATAGAGTAATTTAAAAAATATATTTGAAATGAAAATCTCCAACACATTAGAAGATGATGTTAGATGCCCATCGTCTGCCACAAGTGGTTTTTTCATTATGTAAAGCACCCGTTGAATTAAAATAATTTATTTTTGTTCAACCTCTTCCTGAGGCCCAAGAGCACATGGGCAATTCGGATTTCCTGCTGGACCACAAAGTTCTGTTGATATTACATAGAACGGGTATTCCAGACACTTCTTACGATGGAAGTCTAAAAGTGGCATCCAATTTAAGGCCCCATCTTTCGTTGCCATTCTTCATTCCTACAAAGGACGAACTTGGATCACATCAACTTTGGACCCATTGGTTTTGTCGCTGTCGTCAACTGACAGTGATTCATCACTGGTGATAATAAAAATGATGGAAGAAGAGTTGAAAGTCACTTTTTTCTTTGGCCTGTCCCCATCTTTCTGTGACATCACAATAGGTCTGATCTGCATTTCACTCCCAGCTGCCGGTAGGTCTTTAGCAGGCCGCTGGCACCTCAGCAGTCGGAGGCACAGGAGCTGCAAAAGGGATCTTCGAAACTGGGCAGAGACAAAATAAAGGGGAATATGAAGTAAAAGTTGGGCACTTATCTGGATTAATAGTCAAGGAAATCAGTTGAGCTGAATTTCAGTTGTTTCTTGTTTGTTAGCTGGTGTGGATGAGGGGTTATGTGGTCATGCTCAGATCTACCTAAATCACCCCAGAGCTTTATGTCTTTTCTTCATTCTAATTCTTATTAACCAGAATATGTAGGACCATTTCAGTACCTTGTAATTCTCCAAGCTTCAATCTGCACACACTTTCTATGAGGACAGGTACAACTATTAAGAGATTTTGAACATTAAGTCAGTCCACAGATATTCAGTGGGTATCTACTAGGTGACAGTCACTGTGCTATAATTAGAGATTTTTTACTGTAAGCAACAAAAACAGACAAGGCTCTTCCTGGCAGAGTTTAGAGCCTGGTGTACTTGCTAATGTTTCTTTAATTAGGTGAAGAATTTTTTCTATCGAAATTACTAATAAGTTGGGGAAAAAATACTATGGCAGACAGCACTAATGTCATCAACAAACATAATTCTTCTCCGTGTCCTGGGTACAACATCAAATAATATTTCTTGGTCTCCTTTCGGCTTCTCCTCTCTGCTGTTCCTCTCAACAAGAAACTGGGAGGCCAACGTGTAAAGATCATAATATCGCACAATGGAAGGGACCTAGATCCCTAAATGACTGCACAGGACAGATCCCATCTCCTCCACCCAATACATTATTAGACTGTGAACTGTGACCTGAATGAGCAATAAACTCCGTTTTAATTCACTGAAATGTTGGGGTTGCTTGTTATAGTAGTCAGTCCATCATGACCAGTAAAACATACATCAAAAGTTAATGTAATTGTTATCCCCATTATTTAGAGTGAAATAAATGGTGAATATATGGACTTTCTCAGATCAGGAAATACCAATTAAAAATATAATAGCTACATTGATTTCTGTCTTTTTTGTTTGTTTTTTGCTTGGTTTTGTTTTACAGCAAACACTGCCTGATAATGTCTTCTTTAAGTCCCAATCTTATGCAAGTTAGCATTTAGTTTATACTCACATTTAAAAATTTTTATTTTTTCTATCTGATTCAAAAATTTAAAAAATAAAAATATTTACTTGTTTGAGACTTTATTCACTAAACCATTGTTTGGTTAAGTGTTAAAGAAACATGATGATAAAAGTTAAATAGAGTATGTATGCCAAAAAAATGCTTTTCCATATAAATGGTAAGCTCTTTGAGGACAAGGACTGTTGTTTTTATGTATTGGTTTTTGTTTGTATCTTTTAGACTTCCTGTTTAAAGTATGCCCCTAGGAACCAGAAACATCGGGACCATGTGGGAGCTTGTTAGACGTGCAGAATATTGGGCAGCCATACATACTCAAGGAGAATATTCATTTATTACAAGATTTCCAGGTGTGGGGTACGCACATGAAAGTTCTAGAAGCAGTAATTTATAGCCCGTTGGCTGACAGAAAGAGTGCAACAAATAATTGTTAATGTATTTTTATTTTGCCTGTTGAGAGGGTGGTCCCTAAAATACCTTATCCTCTGATAGAAAATTAAAGTTATAAACCATCTCACTAGAAAAATTTGTATGTGTGCATACTAAAAAATTGTTATGAACAATTTCCAGGGTTTCAATGGCTCTTCTGAGGCCAACTCAAGGAATGTTTAGGTCCTGTGGACTCCAAGTTTAAAATCTCTGGGTTAAAGGAAATAGACCAGTTGAAGGCAACAAAAAACGGAAAGAAACACTGTCAGTGAGAGGAGAATAAGGCACGTGGAAGTGAGTTTATGGAGCGTGTAAGCCAATAATATTCAAAGAAAAGGAAAGGCAAAAGAAGAGGCAGAGGGATTTAGCACTGAACATAATAAAGTTACTACGAAAGTGCCCGCTTCTTCCATATTCTTGAGCATTAGAAGTCACAGTGATTATTATTGCCCGTTATTATTATGACTTGTTATCTTTAAAATTCCAATGGAGTAATTAAGTATTATTTTTAACTTTTAAATTCTCTGAAACTTAGAGGCTCAGCTTTATAATAATCATTTTGTGGGCTCTCCTAGCCATGACTCACAGCCATCAAGTCAAAACCTTTCAACTACAGAAACAGATGATAAGGAAGTTCCTCTTCTTTTTGAGACAGGGTCTCGCTCTGTCACCCAGGCTGGAACACAGTGGTGTGATCATGGGTCACTGCAGCCCTGACCTCCTGGGTTTAAGAGATCCTTTCACCTCAGGCTCCTGAGTAGCTGGGACTACAGGCATATGCCACCATGCCCAGCTATTTTTTTTTTTTTTTTGAGAGAGAGGGGCGTCTCAT